AATATATATATGTATATTACGAAAGAACATTTTATTGAATCTATATTGCAAAAAGAAGTAGCTGTTAATTAACGCGTTAATGTCAAGCGAATATCGCAAGGTAGGACTTATTGGCGATCACAACGCAACGATCACGTGGTAGTGTTCTCTCTCGCTTTTTTTATTCTGATCATCGTAATCGGCAATGAAATGTTTCTCGTGATCAATTGTAATGTAAATTGAGCGTGCGTGACTTGGTGCTTATATTGATAGTTATATCATTGTTTCTGCTTTCTATATATCTGATTGTCATGGAGAGGTGCAGGATGAGAAAAATGTCGACTTCGAGTTTCAAAACTGGACAAAATTTCGGGGAAAAAAATGAACATGCTCGGCCGAAATCTGAGAATTAATGCAGATCTTTGTTGTTAAAATTGCAAGAAGATAAGATGCGGTGAAGGAGAGACACATTTGAGCGCAGTGACGTAAAGGAGAAAAGAAATGGAAGAAAAAGAAGAAAGTCGATAATAACAAACAATAAAAGAAAAGTAAGAGAATTATTTGTCAGATTAGAAGAACAACTTTTGTGTCACTGTGCGGTAGTATCAGTACAAATTTTAAAAGCGCGTGCAACATGTAAGTAAATAAATATTACTAATATTGCTATCTCACGGTCGACATTTTTCTTCTCGTTACGTCACAATCGCAGTTTTCAAAATTTCTAGTCCCATGCGCGCGAAAATTAATTCGCCGAGATAACAATTGTGAATTAAAAAGGTGTTCTCGCAAGCGTTGAGGTGGAATATATAATTAAACGGCCAAATACATTATAGTGTAATAATATAGTAATATTATATTATTATGTGATAGAAAATTACTCTCTCTTTCTCTCTCTCTCTCTCTCTTTCTCTCACTCTTTCTTTCTCTCTCTCTCTCTCTCTTTATCTATCTTTTAGCAATGGAGCCGATCAATCGTCCTTCGTCATCTTTGTACCGCGCCGATAAAAATGTTTCTTCTCGCATCCTTGTTCATGCGCGAATCGATGAGATGTTCCATTTTTCAGAACGTGTTTAGATTTCTTCGATCTGATTTTATCGTCAATATTTTATTTCTTCGACTTCTCGTAGCGTAAACGCGACGATTGACCGGTATGATATTGAAAGAACACACACAGTGTGTTCTGATCATGATAATTTTATCAGTTTATATGAAAGAATCTTTTTACTCTTTCTATTGTTATACACGTTATATATGTTTGTTAGACAAATTGAAGGAACGAATTTGTTCTTTTCCACAGTCCCAGTGTTTTATTCGCCTCTCGTGTCCTGACCGAAAGCGCAAGATTTGCTCATTTTGTTTTTTCTTTACAACTTGCTTTTTTCCCTTTTATCTCCAAATTGTTCCGATAATTGTTTTCTCTTGCTTCATTTAATTTTATATATTTCGAGATTAAAATTTCGGTCATGGTGCTATAATATCTGTATATACATTTATATAAAGAACGTTGGCATAAATATATATATATATTAATATCGTTACTATTAATGACATTTTATTGCAGCTGAAAACATTATGTTACTGCTCCTCCTTCATTATTATTATCAATATTATCGATATGTTTATTGTCGTTATTGCTATCATTATTATTATAACTATTATTGCATTTTTAATTTTAGTATTAATATAGATATTATTGCATTGATTGTGTACTTATTATTGATTACAATCTATATATCGATATTGTTTCGTCAACGAACGCTGTTTAAGTCAAGTGAAAAAAAAGTTAGAATAATAAGAGAATTCAGACAGTTTTCGAAATATTTCTACGTATTCTCTCTCGGCGCGCCCGCAGCTGCTAAGATTACATAGTGATCGTTTTTTTTTTTTTTTTCACTCACTATCAGTGTCTCTCTCTTTCTCTCTCTTTCCTGTTTTGTTCTTCTCACTCTTGTTTTCACGTACATACATTATACATATCTGTTCTTTTTGGTACATTAAAACGCAGTGGTCGACGTATAAATAGCGAACGCTATACTTTTTACAGTATTGTAAAATATATTTTCCTAAAGAAAAAACTTACAAACACTTTTTTTTAATAAGTAAGTTTTATACATTAAAAGTAATAACATCACTTTGATTTGAATACACACACAGAACAAAACCTTCATTAGACATCTGTTAGATATATCGCACGGAGCTTTTGATGTCTAATAGACGTATAATGGAGTTTTTATTCTGTGTGGGATATACATTTGAATAAATATACATACACGTTCACTTGAGTATCCAATTGCTATCAATTTGGCGGCATATTCTTTTCACTTTGCTTACTGAAAATAAATATTTAAAATTTGCTTACATACTGATACAAAATATTCTCTGTCAAAGAAATAAAGGATCAAATAAAGGTTTTTATTTTTGTGCATAAATGAATTGACTTGTAAAAAGTATTTGTTTTTGCTATTTACACACTTGCTCGCTACTGTATATATGTGCATATAAAGTTTATTACAGCGTCGTTCACTTTCTCGATTGCGGAGATTCAGTGAAATTAAATTCCCATAAATCCTTTTTTTTTTTGACAAATTCTTTTTCTAATTAATATAGAGCCTTATAATTGTATTAAAAAACTATTTGAAGTTTAAAGTAAAACTTAAATTGCACACCGCAATTCAATTGCAATTAAAATATATACACTTTATTGATGTAAAATTTTTCACTTATTTAATTTATTTGAACAAGTTGGAATATTGTTGAGACTTAACATTTTTAATTAAGAGAAAGTGTGCGACATATGAGATAATCTTACATATGCACATTATTAACAAAAACATCGGTGACAGAAAGAATAACAGTAACGAGGACGATGTCGGCGTGCCAAGGGAGGCGGGAGAATTAATCGTAAAAAAATATGTATAAAATATATAAACAAAGATATAATGATATTAAGGATAAAAACTAACTACAACAAAAATGACTGCTCTATACTGCTAAAGTACAAATGTTTTCATTTAGTTGTTTTATAAGATGATATTGATTCGTTAGAGTTTATGGATCCGCGTTTAAGTCTCGCATTTTCCACCGGACGCGACCGTTTCACACTTGGCTCTTATAATAAAATTCGCATATGGAATGTTATGCGAGACTGAGAATTCAGATGACTGCACTTGGAGCGCTAAATGCGAGACATAAATGCGGAACTAAATTTATAGCGCGCGTCGGTGTGGATATAGGCATAGAAATAGAGCGTACAGCCCGACGCGCGTACGCGTATATGTATAATATCTGTATTTATTTGTTAATCTCTCTGAACGTGTGGCATTTATGTCAAAAGCCACGTATGTTTATACAGGATGTCACAGAAATCTCGTGTAATCGTTTGTTTGTTTGTTTGTTTTTTTTTTTCAATCACATGTATAAAAGATTTTATTTTTTATTTCATGTTTGTATTTCTATGTGATAAAATTATGAAATTAATAATAAAATCGTCACGTTACAATGTGTGTGGAATATAAAAAATGTCCAAAATAAGAACTAATTAGAATTATACTTTTTTTTAAATCTTTTTCTGACTACTTAAAATTGTAATTTACATTTTTTAATTTCCGATCAAAGCGTGTTGTATGATTTAATATCGATCGGAGTCTCAGACATTTTTTATTTGACACTTGCAAAAATTTGGTTGATGACTTAAACGAATTACAATTGAGAGAAAACTAGCTCTCTAATTTTCTGAGATATTCTGTATATATATATAAAGCACGCACACATACACGCATATCACATAACATATTCTTCTACTAGTATATCTGAACGCATACTATACATCCTCTCCATTTCACGTCCATTTCGCGAAGCTATATAGTAATAATGATGTACGATTTTTGTCTTGCTGACAATCAGAATCGCGGTAGCGTTCACACAGCGACATTCCACGACGCGAACAACACTCTCTCTTTTCATTCATGTATTATATAATAAAATGCGGACTTCTTTCTGTATCAGAAATCTAGGGCGAGCATTATAGGAATTATATTTAGAAACAAATTTATGAACAGAGATATTTGATTTAAATTATTCGTATAAATTATATATGTTTATCTTATTGTATTTTCTCCCTCTTGTTGTTTGTTTGCTTGTTATTTTTTCTTTGTCTCGTAGTAAGATATAGCGTTCTAATATAAACGGCGTTAAAATATAAACGCACACATACAACAATCGTCAGTTTTCATTAAATGACGTGGTCGTTTATGCGAATATACTCATGTTGTTTGTCATTCGTCATCCGTTTTCTTCGTTATCCCAACTGTTGAAATCACGAGGAACTGAAAATTCTCTTGTTAAACTTGTATTCGATCGCTTGCAAAATACGAGAGATATCTTGTGCCAATTACAAGACTAATCATTAATTACTATTGTCTGTTAAGTAATTGAGAACGAGAGAAAAGCAACGAGACGATCAGATACTTATTACTTTTCTCTTAAAAACATATAAAAAAAAAAAAACAAAACAAAACAAAACAAAACTTGCGCGTGGCAGAGTTATTTTAACGCATATCTTTTTTAATGTGCATTTAAAGAGAAGTTTGTATAGAGAGAAAAAGATTATATATATAAATAAATATAAACTCTTAAATTATATGCAGCGCGATGAATCTATTTAAGTAAACGCACATATCGAAGTACATATAACATACGTATATACCTTTTAAGGCCGTATCGATGTTTGATCGTCCATGGAAGTGTATAAACAAAACACAAAAATTTAATCTCCGTCATAACAATAGCGTAACACGGCAATAAAGCGCGATTATACGAGCACATCTTTTTTTTTTCTTTTTCTTTTTTTATTATATAAAAGTTATTTTTTTCATATTGTGGCAATATTCTTGAATGCAACAAAATAAAATATGCAAAAATATTATAGAAAAGTGTTATACAATATATATATAAAAATTGTTCGCTCCAACGTAAAGTTGATTTTATTCCATCAATTGATAATTCTTCCCAGTCCGCGAAAAATTTACAATATATAATTCAAGTAGGTGTAAAAAAAAGAGAAATAGATGAGAGAAAAAAGTAAATTGTTGTTATTAATATTGATCTTCTCGATGTCGCAGAGCGAGTTTGCGTTTTGTTGTAGCGGAAGCGTTTTGTAAATTGTGATTCACACGTGAAATTCTATACATTGTGTCAAACTTTTCCAAGAAATCTGATGGAGAGAATGTAGTTTGCGAAAATCCTTGCCGATTTGTGTCAATAATGAGAGAGCGTACGGATTTCTTGTAATATTACCTCCCATTAACGATCGTTACTTGCGTATGTCGTTACAATATTTATGCATCGAAACCGTTACTGGTTGTTAAAAAAAGTTTACGACTTGAAATCTCTTCGAAATCAATATATTTGAATGTGTCTGTTGTAAAAGTATAGGCAAATGCAAGTGCACCTCCAAACTCTCTCTTCTTCGCGGAGATTTAGCAAAGAGAGATCCGAAAAAAATCCTGATAAACTTATAGAAAGTATGAAGTAATGTATACAGATATATGCGGTAAAAGAAACAACAACACGAAATGGATACACGTATCGCGCTTCTTTTGTATTACGATATGACGCGTTATAAATATATACATATATATATATATTTCATTGTTGAGTTTACGACAAGATCTAGGTGTGTAAGAATTATACGAATCCATATCTCTCTCTACCATTAAGTTCACCATTATCATATATATATATATATATACATATATATATTTAAATAATATATTGTATTATATGACAATCTTTTCACACATCTTTCCCTTTCCACTTCCAATTTACCCTGTCTCTCTTTTTCCCTTTTTCCTCATCATCTCTTACTCATCCTTCCGAAACGTATATCATCCTTCTCGGAAAAAAGGTGTACTTTTTCACATAAAAGGCATTGCCAAAAAATAAATATGGGGTTGGAAGATTGAAAATTGGAAAATATTTACTTGTGTGTGTCTCTTGCCTACATCCAGACATTTTCCGTCTATTTTTATTGACTGATATAGTATATCGCTTCTTCTTTCTCAAAATAGAAAGACTTTAGAATACAAAGTGCAGTAAAATTACAATACGTATCTTCGACTCAATACAAATTACACTTCTTACACTTTATACAAGGGAGAACAGCAAGAGTACGAAAGATTACATATAAATTACGTAATAATAATACATATAATTATATTGATGCGACTTTCCAGAATATGTTTACAGAATATTATCGTATTAATTGTCTATACGGACACGCATATACATTCACGTGTGCATATTAGGTAAAGCCTCTATTTAGGTTGTTTCTCTTTTTTTTTTTTTATTAGCATGCTCTAGAAAAGTATGTATTATCACCTTGTCTTAAATTATAAATGACTTTGTGGCGCAAGTATACTTTCTTTCTTTGTATAATTAAATTTCATAAAATTATAACATTTCAGTTTCTATTTCTTTTAAATATGGTAATAAATCACCGAGCGAATTTATATAATAATCTGGAATAAGATCGCGCTCTTCTTGACGATCAGATTGTTTCAATTTTTCAAGATCTGACTGACTAGTTACTCCCGTCAAAACTAACAGAGTCGTGAAACCCCAACGAGAGCCGAAGAGTATATCGGTGTTACATCGATCACCGATCATTAGCGTGCGTTTCGGATCAATATTTGATTGATTCATCAACATTTTAGCCATATATTCATCCGGTTTTCCCATAACAACAGCTTTTCTCTCTGAACAGCTTTCTATGCACCTGACTAGACTTCCTGTACCTGCATAAAAATTAAGATATTTATATCGTTTTTATCGATATCATTTATCTATATCGTTTACAGATATCTATATCGTGATTACATGGAGATAAGATTTATCTCATTGGTCTTACCAGGTATAACGACATTGTCTGAAACAGGAAATCGTTCATCCATATTGGTGCCGATAAAATGTACATTGGGATCATATAAATATGTAGCTGCTTTTGTCATCTTAGGATAGCTAAAATGTTCATCAAAACCGACTATAACCGCGCCTATTTCAGGATCCTTGTCAAAAACAGAATACGGGTTGGTTTGCTCAATCACATCTGGTCCTATTCCACAATGTGAAATATTAACTTGCTCCAATTCCTTCCCAATCGCTGTGCAAAAACAAGTAGTAAAATAGAATCGAATAGAACTTGAATTAAATGTTTTATAATACATGATTATGTAACACACTTATTGTATCTTTACCTTCTGTACCAATAATATAAACTTTCTTGTTAAAACCTAGACTTTGAAGGTAACGAGCTGACAAATTAGAAGTGCACAATATATCATCCTTAGTTGCCTCAAACTTCAAGGCTTTGCATTTTTCCGCCAACTCTTCACGAGTCTTTGTGCTATTGTTAGTCACGTAGAAAACTTGTTTCCCGAGCTTGCGAAGCAGATTTATAACATCCGACGAATACGGCAATGGTGTCATGTGCATCCATAGTACCCCTAAAAGAAAGATCTGCAAAACTATCATACAATCATATTCGTATATGATTTTTTCACTCACCGTCACAATCGGTTAATACAGTATCAAATGAATTAATTAATTTCCTAATGTCCTCTTGACTCAAAGACTGTATTTGTATTGCGGACATTGTTACTTGTTAAAAATCTAAATAGTATCAGAAACAAGTTATCACGTATCAGAAAAAATCAGTAAAAATATCAAAATGATTAATTAACGTTTGCAATACCTATAAATACTTGTGTCAAACGTGACTATTTTTTAGTTATTACTTTAATAATCTCACGTTCGGTGGTTCGGTTATGGATCACAGCAGACTCACACTCACACTGTCTGTTACGCCAGTAGTGACCAGTCTGTTTCAGTAATCTCAATGTCAAATCAAGATCAGCTGAGAACAAGACAGGAATCTTGCTGTCACTTTTGTTTTGCAACTATTGTGCTGCCATCTTTTAGAATTCCGTGAGAAACTAAGTCTGATGTATGAAATAATGAAATCAATAAATATACAGTCAAGCCAAAGTAAAGCCAATCACAAGTTTAGTGAACTTAGTTTTGATTGGTCACACTCCAATCTGGTCCTACTAACTGTTATAACATCAAATCACATTCTAATCTACGCAAATTCCTAATCCATATAACAGTTTAATACTAGTCTCAGATTGGCTTTTGCTCCTCCCGAAAAGGGACGTGCGCCATATAAGTAAAGAAGAAGAAGTTAATATACTAGACTAGACGATTACGGTAAAATATACATCGAGTTTTACCACATTCGTCAATTTGACAAATATTTGAAAAAAAAAACGATTTCTCCGTTTTTATTTTTAATTTCTTTAATATGTAAATAGTTAATTGACAAAAACAGCTTTTAGATTTTTATTATTTCCAACTTTTGTTTATAAAATAAAATTGTTTTAGAACATCTTTTTTTAAATAATTTTTTCGTCTCACTTTATATAGACTGTCAAATGCAGTAATGTTTACTGTTTCTGTATTAAAAAAAATATAACACACATACATTCACACGCTTACACACATATGGATTTAGTATGAAGAAGCTGTGGCATCGAGCGTTGAAATCTATGAGCATAACAAAAAAATATAAGACAATAAAAAACGCCCGAAATAATATAATATTCCGTGTAATGTGTGTAAAACTCTCTCTAAAAAAGCTAGACTTAACAAAGACTGTGAAAAATTTTACGACAAAGTTTTTAGTGAACACACACTAGAAAATTTTTGATAAATAAAATAATATAGTTTCTATAATAAAATACACAAGAATAATTTAGATAAAATCCTTACGTGTAAGAAATTCAAATTGAGAAAATTTCTAGACATCACTTATTTGGCAGGTTTTATTCTCTCTCTCTCTCTCTCTCTCTCTCTTCAGCTAATAGAACCTGTATATAATATCATCATGATGTAAACAGTTTTAACTGCTTTTCATATATATAAATATATGACACGTGATTTGATACTGACTTGCCGAGCTCTCTGATCTTAGCGAGATTTAACCACGAACAAAGTAGACGCAAATAAGTTAACGCGAGGATAAAGGAGTTCAGTTATCAATCCATCGGTGAAGTGCGAGAAGCTAGTCCACAATTGCAATCTACAATCTTTTAATTTATATTGCAATTTCTTGTTTATAGTGTTTTTGATCTCCGGACTTTACTCAAATTAAATGAGCCTGCGCGTTTGTTTTGAGTTTTTGCGTTGTGAATTTTAAGAAATTACTCTGACTTGTATCAATAATAAATTATTATACAAAAAGAGAAAGAGAAAAAGAGAGAGAGAGAGAGAGAGAGAGAGAGAGAGAGAGAGAGAGAGAGAAAGAGTATGTGTTTAGTAATAATCCTGTATGAAAAGGCAAATAAAAATTATATTGAGTCGAAAAATTATTTACCATTTTACGAATTTCGCAATAATTAGAGTTATTAATTTATAAAGATTCGCAAAAATGAGCGAATAAAGAGATAGAGACAGTTCATTGCTCAATTTGCTGTATACCTGAAGGACTTTTCGACTCAGTACTACCTGTTCTACCTGTCTACAAGAAGTAATATATGTTATTTGTACAGGTAATTAAATTTCCGAAGGACGAGAAGAATTAAGAAAGTAAGGAATAGAAAATCTACAAGTAAATAATCTGGATATGAAATGAAAAGATCATTAAAAAAACAACGGATTTGCTCTGATAGTTTCTCAAAATGCAAAATTGACAAGAATATCAAAAAATGTTTAAAACATGAAAATGTTTCATCAATAGTAAAGACAGGTAAAAAAAAATTTTTTTAAGACTAAAACAACACAAGTACCATAACATTACAGCAGTTAGAATTTTCTGACTCTTCTCTTCACTTAATAATATAACTATTACTTACATGTGTTATATTACACTTACATTGTTGAATATATATACTCAGCAAACACAAAGTAACAGTTGCGTAACATTAATGTTATAATTTCTCACTCAACAATGTAACTGCTACGTACAAGGCATGTTACACTGCAGTTACATCGTTGAGTGGGAAATTATAACATTAATGTTACGTTACTGTTACTTTGTGTTTGCTGTATATATATACGTATAAAAATTCAATAATTTTACATATATCAGTTTCCACAAAATGTAAGGACACCCGTTGCACAACTAATAAGTATGACTCACGTTTGTGCACGTTGCGATGGGGAAGCAGGGGCCCTGATTCTAGACAATAAAGTTGTTTGATGATGGCACAACGCGCGATTTGAGACACCGCAGACGGTCGAGAACACGATTTTAAAGTCACGAAAAGTATACACCGTTTACACAAGAATAGATAATAAAATTGAGATGTTTCAAGAAATATCTTCCGAGATAATCCTTATCGGAAAAAATGCGCGGATCTATTCTTTAAAGTAAATTAAAAAAAAAAAAGAAGAGATTCTTATCTTTATGTACTAAAGTTTAGAAACTCGATATGCGCACGTGTGTAGTACGCTTAACAAGTTGCATCTCTTCTTTTCGTAATGTTTCTGCGTAACCAGGGCAAACAATGCGCTTCCGCAGCGACTTACACGGGACAAAGAATTGCCGGACGAGTATTCAGAAGTGACTCAAATGCGCACGTATACACCGCAGTGTAAGTGTGTTGGATCTGTGTATGTATACGGATTCTGCGTGTGTGTAGTGTAATACTATAATGCAACGCTGCTATCAATACAATCGCGTCCGTTATCTTACATAGAATTCCTTTGGCTTGTCTACGACAATTATATTGTTTGTGACTCGTGCACTTGTAGTTTTTAATTCAGTTAGATCGATTTTAATGTAACAATATATCTTTTCAAATGTAAGATATTATGCGGACATTCCACACATTCCGTTGTTGTGTTTTCTTTTTTCGGCAAACATTCAAGTTCGGTTAAAAAAAAAATGCCGATCTATATATCTTACAAAATTCTGTTGCTTTAGCGACAAATGTACGAGGTTTTACATATTCGTAATTTTATACGCGTTACCATTTGTGTGTATTCAGCTGCTTTGACATAGCTTCGCGTAAATTTCTTGCAGACGCAACACACATAAAATATGCGAAAAAGTGACTTTTTTAAAAATATTTATAAATAGGTTAATGCAAAGGATTCATAAGATTCAAAAGTGATGACGCGAAAGTCAATTTAAAATTAAAAAAATAGTAAAGTTTATAAACTCAAAATTCGTTCTTTTTTAAATCAGATAATAATAAAACAAAAACTGGTTTTTAGATAAAATAACATTTCTTAAATCCATTGACAATTTTTTTGACTAATAAAATCTAGCTCTCAAGCTTTTATTTTTTACACTTATTTTAATTGTCTCAAAAGAGCGATGCGATTTCTAACCGACGAAACTGAAACTACTCCAATACATTAATCCAATCGTGATAAAAATGCATCTCCATCATACGCGATGTTACGTGTCGAAGCTATCGCATATTCCACGGAAAGTGCGTTTGTGTGTGTAACGTACACGCCCGATCGGGCTTTCCTTACAGAAACGACACTCTCGCATTCTCGAAGCTCTTTCGCAGGCCCCACATGTTCTCGAGACTCCCGAGATAATGTAACGTAGCGGAGAGTCAGTTCGCTCGCAGACGCGCGCAACGCCGGTTGAGGATTTTAGAGACCGCGCGCTCTTTGTTTTATATCGTCGTGACCAACTTCCAATCGCGCAATTTCCAATGTGCCGAACGTACTGAGGTCGAAGTTTTGAAATTTCGTATTTAATGGCGAATATATGAGATAAATGTGAGTGTAACCGCTGTGTAAAAAAAAGATATACACGTAATTTTTGTTCGTGTGTCATCTCAGTCAACTATTTGACTTGATTTTCGATAGAAAAGTAACTTAAATCTTTTTTCTGTAATTGCTTTGAAATGTCTCTCTTAAATGTCGATCGTGTGTCGATGATGGTAATTTAAGTAGAGAATCTAGTGTCACGTCACAATGCGTCACAGTCATTGTCCCTTGATGCAGAAGAGGAAAAGTGAAAGGACCTCGTGTGCTTTCCGATCTGACGTGCGAGAGACTCCGAAGTCCGTGTTATAACACGGCGAATACGCGCAATAAAGTCAACAATTAAAGGTCTTCGTACATCTCGTTTTGAATTGTCATGTCGTATCCAAGCAAAATAACGGTCCTTAAAAGAAAAAAAAATAAAAACTAACGTCCATAAATGTATTTTTACATTAATCGCGCACATATATGTTTTCACACACACACACGTTTTCCGCAAAAATTACTTTTGACATTTAATGCTCATTTGTGTCATTATACAGTAAGCAAACTACGCGACATTACTTTATCGACTTTCTACTTAAATGTTTCGACAAATCTTTGACACGTCATTTTTTTTTTTTTTAACTTTTTCATCAATTTGTAGAGAGATAAGCGGTATCTCTGAGAAAACTCATTTTTTGTAGTACACAACACCGGTATATAAGACTAGTCCGTGTCCTATCAATTGGATTTTATCACACTTTACTCGCTGCTGGTTCCCATTAATGCATGACGTCGGGCACGCACCAGTGCTTATGCGCTTACGTATACACACACCTAAATTATAGAGCGTGCCACCACGGTGCAACGATCGATGACATCAGTATTCCGTAACGAGTGCAAGGAGAGAAAAAAAAAAAAACAATAGCAAGTAGCTCGATAAGCGTACAGTAGTTATAATCGCGCTCTGTGCGTGATGTGTTTTTTTTTTTTTTTTTTTTTAAATCCAGTTATTTAATTAATTCTGTGGTTTCTACAGTTTTCTATCTCAAACGACACAGAATACGCGTTTAACATGAGTAAAATTCCACGAACTTACGCTTCTTGTCCGATCTCGACGCAAAGCTTAATCGAAACAAAGATATTTTTGAGCAACGTAAGAAAATCCAATTCTTTGGTTAAATGTAAGTCACGTAATAAAATTAGAGCACTTATAAGTTTTCTTTGCTCGCACGTAAAGAAAGAATTGTTTCCGTGTTTCGTGTCTAAAATACATGTGCAGTAATACGCCCTTGTTCGTTCAAGTGTTCGCGAATTTGCTAAAACGGCGGAATTTTTTTTTCTGCTTCGGCGCGCACTTAACGAATGCTGAAAGAATTAATCAGCTTCTTTCTAAACGTTCTTCGAGCGAATGACTGTTCGTTTTGTGATTTAAGAGAGCACTGTGCATCTCGTCTTCGCGGGCGAGCGATTTTTTTGCCTCTCCGTCGACTTTCACGTTCGCGAGAGCGCACGAGGAAGCCGGCGCGCAAAAAGGGGGCATTGACACGGCGGAAGCCATTAGGAGTAATTATGCCTTATGACATTATCAAATCGATCGCGCACCTGGCGTGCTTTTTTTTTTTTTTTTAAATCCGGGAGAAGCAGCATCGCGTAGCGTCGCGCGAGTACACGTACTCGTTTTAACGATCGCACGAGTCCTGACAAATGCATTCCGACGAATTAACTTTAAATGACCCGCGGGAGAGGCGCAACTCGGTGCCCCCGCGAAGCACAGCACGTGGCGCTCAAACCCCAACTTGAGTAAACTTTTGAACGCGTATTCTATTTTAGAAACTCACACAATCCGTTCTGTTCCGATATTTCGCGGCGTGTGTACGTATATACACGATATCGAGAACATTTACGAGTCAATCTCTCTCTCTCCATTTGACGAATGTTGTAACGATGTTTTTAACTCAATTGATCTCAATTTTCATGACAAAGTGTGTGGTATAAAGATTGATGAAACTTAATTACAAACGTTGTTCTCAGTAAACTTTTTCTTTTCTCATCACAACTGTTTAATATTTCTATTGCAAATTTCTGCAGTGAACACCGATAACAATTAAGTTAAATATTAATATTTATGCATTATGTTCGAGCGTAGTAACGTCAGATCGGTTTGCGAATTCGCGAAATCCAGATTAGAGTTAAGAATATTTTGACACGACCGGCTATTTCGAACGTGACCGTCGAGAGCGGGAGACCAATATACGTTTATATTTAGATTTTAGTCCAAAGTTATTAACCTTTGCCTTCGTCAAAATGTATATATAAATATATGTAACACACACACGGTTTTACATGACAATTTTTACAATACGTATTCAATCGAGGGGATCTATGCTGTTTACGAAGAACGTATATACGTGCGTAAAAATCGAACACGTGTGTTATTTCTGTGTTATCGATACTTATCACAAATATCATCATAAAATTTAACACAAACATGCTTAAAAATAAAACACACTTGTCAATATTATCTCCTGAATATCATAATAAAGTCATTATTGCACGTTTGTACAAACAACATAAATTTCAACAAATTACATTCGAAAATAAAAAAATATTAAAAAAACTATTTGTTTAGAAAATTGTTTTAGAATTAGAGAAATACTTTTTTTTTTTATCAATATCGAGTTTGCATAGAAGGTTTTTTTTGAGAATTTTATCCTCCCATTTTCACGCCACATAAATAACACGTTATCGCAGAGAAAGGCACGTGAACTTAATGATACGTTATTTCACAGACAGGAAATACCTCTTATTGCGCTCCATCATCGCCGACTGCGACAGAGTCGCTTAATATGAAATTGAGATAACAAGCACATTTTATTCACACAGGCGCCATGAATAAGACGGAATGCAGCATTGTCCTGAACACAGGGACGTCCTCCTCGTCCTCGAGTGTGATTCATTCTCATATTCCGGTGCCCAGAATATCAACCGCGATCAAGGCTCAAGAGAGATGTCCTCCAAATCGAAGAGGATCCTTCGACAAATTCTGTCGCGTACCGGGCAGCGTAGCCGCGAAAACCGCGTCCTTCGAGAAGCTCGACGCTTCTGTACAGTCAAGATCACGCACCAACAACACCAACAACAATAACCATCACAATCATCCCTCACTGTCGATTTCCAGCATCGAAGTGCGGAATTCTGACGCTTCCGTCGTACAATTAAGATCACGTAACAATCATCATCAGAATCATCATCAGTTGTCGACTTCTAGCATCGAAGTACGAAATTCCGACGAGAAGCCGACACCTGCGAGCTCTCACAGAACAAACGTCGTCGAGTTCAATAGGAGTAACAGTTTCTTAGAGAATAAATGGAAAACGAAATATGAAGAGTCAGAGAAGAAGCGGAAGCTGTTGTTGCAGAAGATCGAAGCTGGTAACAAATATATATGTATACATTATATTACAAAAAATTATAAATTACATTTTTCCAAGTTGAACTTAATCCTTTGTAGACCGACATGGGTCTCCCAGACCCACTCTAAAATTACGCATCAATGTCTTTAGTAAAAATTAGTTTTTTGAACGTTTATATCTTTTAAACTACTAGACAATTTTTTTAATTTGTTTTTTTTTGTCGACGCAGAATCGTTCAAGCTTTTAATTAAAAAAAAAATATATAAAATTGAAAAATATTAATTTTTCGCGGAGGTGTTTAATTTTAAAGTCGCGTGAGTTTCACAGATCCGGTCATTCCACAAAGGGTTAATTAAATTTTTACACTTTAAAAATTAAATTTGCACACACTAAACTAAACTAAAAATTTAGTTCTCTTTTATCTATATCTTATCTTCTCTAGTTTTTTTTTCTCTTGAGTTTCCTTATTTTTCTCGTATTTTTTTAAACTATGGAAAGTTACTTTAACAATTGTTTTCATATTGTGGTTGATGATAAAACGTTGATCTTTCTTCTTTTTCCGATCTCTCTTTTGTGGTGTCTCGGCACGATAAGCCGGTCGGCTGTTACAGTCGTTGACTTTTGATAAAACTTTTCTTCGACACAAAAACTCACATATAAGTAACGGAAAGTGCGCAAGACGCACCACACGATTATAGTTTACGAACAATAATTGGCTGAGAATGCGCAGTCGATTATCTTGTCGTGTCGTGATTCATTTATGCATGTAAAATGACGACAATGACGCTCTATTAGTCACACTGTGTTTGTACATACACGATTGAATTATAAATTGACGCGGACAAGAAGCGTCGTCGGACCAGCTTGTACGTGATTTATTGTTCTTAAAACAAATGTATAGAGATCGATCAACGATCGATCGATCAAATTTAATGTACGAAAAGAGCAAGCGTTGAAATAAGAAAGTTTAACTGTCGTCTGGACGCAAGACATGTCCCAGACCGTTCTCAAAATCGTTTAAACACGACTCGGGTAATTAAGAGGCAAAGTGCCTCATAAGTAGTTTATGCATAATGCATAACGCAACGCGTCAGACTTCTTACGATTGATCAAGGATGTTTAAAAATAATATTTAAAATACGTCGAAAAAACATACAAAACAAAGAAGAGAAACGAGCAATTAGTAATAAGGTTGAAAACTAAGTCAGATTTTGCGAGATATTAAAAAAAAAATCAACGCTACTTTTTTCATTCACACGTAATAATCCGCATATAACGCGAAGTTTTTTGTTTTTCTAATCAATTATTTCAGAATAAAAAAGCGAGTGTGTATGCGCGTGTATAAAATATATCTTGTTTTATATTTTTCTCATACATCGAATCGTCAACAGACAGCAGACTCATATGATATATGAGAATACGAATTCTCTTAGAAACGAACGATGACATCATCGAATGTCTCTCAAGTATTCTATGTACTATGTTACGTGACCTTAATCTGGTAGTCGGATATCGACATGATCGCGGTATTTGACAACTGACTCATTCTTTATTTCACACACTGTGGTCAGTAACTACACAGATAAAAAATTATAATAAAAATATTATAATTTATAAAAAAATTTATATACGTATAATATATGTATAAAATTTATGGTTTTTTCCTCTATATCGATCGCACAATTTTTTACAGGGAATAAGGAAAATGCAGAGTTGGAGAAAAAGTCGCAACAACTGCAAGAAGAAAACGTCTCGTTGCAACTACAAGTTCAGGAAAAAGAGCAAAAGTTACAAAAGTTGCGAACAGGTGCGTAGTTAATTTGGAAATTACAACACATATTGAATTTTTTATAATATTTTCCCAACTTTTATGCGTATTTGTTGATTTCTTATAGTTTCGGAAGCTCTCTGCAAAGAATACGAACAATTGAAAAATCAATATGACGTGGAGACGAATGCGATGCACAAAGCAATGCAACAAGCATCTCAGGTAACGATTTAATCCTCAAACAGCGAATGGTTTTAGCAATGTGCAAGGCAGAATTGTCCAAACAGACCCGTAGCGAAATATTATTGAAAACGTGATTCGTGACGGGCTGGTGGTAAAAAAATGAGGGTACGCCAATGTTTACATAGTTTGAACGATTACGACTTAGAAGCGACATGGATCTGGTGTGTCCGCCACGTCTTAAATTTTTGAACTATATCAAGAATCGTGATATTGTTGATGAAATAAAAATTAATTTATTAGATTCTATCAAATCTAATAAATTACAATGAAATAAATAATATCGAATAAATAACACGTACACGTTCAGAAATACACAAAATTTTGTTACAGTGGTACCGACAAAATCGCGAGCTCAAGCGACAGTCCCAACTCATGGCGCAAAAGTTGATGCATAACAATCCGCAAGAATTGTTAGACGAACGATCGTTGCCGTTTTACACGTCCGACGAAGTAGACTCGAATACCGAAGATCTGGATCAGTTAAGACAAACTGTAAAAGGTCAGTAGAATTGATTTTGTTGATTATTGATACATTTGTCACTTTATAATGCAATTATTTACCAAACGAATTTTAAAAAATACAAGTTTTATAATATTAATTGTGTGTTAAAAATACAACGTACTTGACTCATTTCCAGAGTTGTGCGGCGACATAGCGCAACTTCAAACGCAACTTCATTCCGCGCGGCTTCAAGAATTCGAAGCACAAGAACAGGTAACACAACTGACTACGCAGCTAGAGGAGGAAAGAACTCTTCGACAAAAAGGTAAATATTTCTAATCTCGTCGCACGTGAAATGAGAGTGATACTAAACCGATAATTGTTTCTGTCGCAGGCGAGGAGAAAATTAAGGAAATGAAAATGTACAAAGAAAATATGGAGAGAGTCACAAAAAAGGTAGCTGAAGAGGTGAGGATCTTGAAAACGCAATGCGATCACGAGAGAGAAAACGCAAAAATTCTCCAGAGAGAAGCCGAAAGGGTGTGTTTTTATCACTATCTTCCACAAAACGTATATATATATAAATTTAATTATCACAGTTTACATAAGAATCTTCTATTTTATAATTAATAAACAAATGTTGTCTAGAAACTTACCCGGAGAGATTAAAGTTATCTATAGAAAATTCTTGACACGCGGTATTTACGAAACGGAACGATAAGACGGTTTAATCTGTTGGTATATGGAATTCCTCGAATACCACGACGCTAAGTACAAATTATTTACAGGCTCAAAAAGAACGGAACGTCTTAGCGCACCAAAGTGCTCTTCTTATGGCCGACGTTGGAGACGATCCAAATGGTAGATTATTAACTGTTCTACAAGAAGTTGAATCGTTGAAGAGATTGCTAGAGGAAGAACAGCAGAAGCATGCTCTCCAAGTGCAGATGTTACAGGAGAAACTAGAAGAGAAAGAGTCAAATGTAGAATTTGAGATCGTCGAGGAAAAGCTGAAGCTCGCTGAATGCGATTTGGAGCTAGTTCTTCAACGAGCCGAAAGAGCAGAGAAATTGGTGGAAGAGCTACAAGAGGTTGTGCAAAGCCTGAAGCAAAAAGTCAGCGAGTTAGAAGAGAAAGCGTCGAGACCACCGCCGCCGCCATTACCACCACCTCCACCGTTAATACCACTGTTCGGAGCCGGTCAATCGTCGATAAAATTGCTGACCAGAGAAAAACTGACCTCGGAGCATACGGCTGTAAGTGATATGGAAAAGATGCTTGGCCTTACGCCGAAGAAAACACCTGCAGTTGCGCAACAATCCGGTACATATATATACGTATATATAAAATTATCTATTCTCTTATCTGTTACATACTTCGATGTTCAATTGTGATATCAATCTTGTTTACTATGTAAAACAGTAAATGAGTGAAACTTACACATACCCATATACTTTCAGCTATCGACGACGTTATAAATCAAATTAAAGGCGGACGTTATACGTTAAAGCATACAGATGTAAGTAGATAAATGAAAATAGATGTGTCTTAAAGCTTTCAAACATCGCTTAAATTTTCTGGTGTATTTTAGAGGTCTTTTTTTTGGAAACATTTGAGTGTGTGTTATTTCAGAGAGTAAATCATTTCTTTTTCTTTTTAACTTTTTTTGGAGGATATTTGAACGAGATGTTGATTTTAGAAACAAAGAGAAGAGGAGCGGAAAAAACGGCAAGAAGCGGAGAATGCGTCACCGGCAGTTTCCGAGATGTTAAATATTCTCGGTACTATGAAACGAAGAGCCAAACCAACAAGGCAACCGCTTAAATTTTCAGACGCGACTTCGTAGCAATCAAAAAGGGAGTTGTCTAAGTAATAAACAAACTTCAACAAAATTATTGAGTCTCAAGCGACTAAATAATTTATATGTTGATTTGATATGTTGATTACTTTACAATATATATATGTATATATACATATATAGTTTGTGTATTATATATGTACACATGTATATATACATATATAGTTTGTGTATTATATATGTACACATATATATTATACATATACAATATATATGTGTACTATATACTCTATGTATATATACTATACATATATGTTAATTTTTGTTAATTTATATGCATAACTGGTCACCTAGATCTATCTTGCTCAATCTAAAAACATGTACGAAATTTATATATTCCATTATAAATTTTTATACAGCTGTTACTGTCTGAAGATGAAGTCTGATATAGAATCGACGGATTGACTATGGAAACTGTTATATGTTAAGAAACTGTTACACCTTAAGATTAAAAAAAAATAAGAGTAAAAAAAAAGAGTGAGAAATATAGGCGTATAGAGAAACAGTTTGTAGCAATTATGAAGCATTGTGTAAAAGATGTATTATAAAAAGCTTACTCCACATGCTATCACGATTACACATTGTCGTTCGCAGGAATTACAAAAATTTGTTTTCTCTGAAAAGCACATTTTTCATTCTTATTACACATTAAAGGACCAAGCGAAAACTCCATCGCGCATGTTCTGCCAATGTAATTATATTTTAATATACTTATCAAATTTATTGAGAAAATTGATTCTGTATTTTTTGTAATATTAATGGCAATTTGGAAGCTTCAAAAAGGAGTACTCGTCTATAAGGTGTCATTTCATCATCTCTCTCAGTCCATTTTCCAGATAAGCCACTATCTGCTTCTTCTTCAACGGAGAATTCAAAACTAACAGTTGCATCTTCCGCAAAAATCTCTTCTTCTGGATTGCTCCATAATACAGACGGCACATTATCGATATTTTTCTTCTTGTTTTTTGTATTCTCGATTTTCTTGTCATCTGATTTGTATAATTTACATATAAATATGTAATACGAGAAATTAAAGGGCATGTTCCTGTTATTGGCACGTTCCACTTCGGAAATTAAATGTTCAAGAAGGGGCACTGAGATTTTGGCAGGAATGTTGACGAATCTCTCGTTAATAAGCAAACCCAACTGTTCCGCGTCATTTCCCAATAAATTATTTATCATGGTGTTAGCCGCATCTGTCGCATGCTCATCCGCTAACTGCTTCAATAAATCTCTAAGTTGTTGTATACATGGAATATTCTGAAACAAAGAATTTTATCTTTTGTTTATAAGAACTGAAAAAAACTTTGTTAAAATAGCTTTTGATTAGTAACAATGACAAGTCACACAATATTTTATCAATATATCAGTTACCTGTTTATCCGAAATGTTGATAACAGTTGTAACACCAAATACATCATTAACCTCATCATCATTATCCTCATCTTCACTTTCATTCTCATCAGTAGCTTGTTTAATAACAGATCCTACATAATTTTGAGATATTATTAAATCTGTAAGTCCACCTAAATCAATATGTGCTTTGAGAAAAAGTTGTTTCAACAAGGTTTTGATTCCATGATAATCAGGATCCTGTGCATTACGACCTTCAAAATCTATTTGGATCTCCACTGCCTGTAAATAAATATTTTTCTGCATCACACATCTTTATTACATTATTGAACAAAAGTCAGATATAATTATAGTAGCTCATAATCAGATACGCAAAAATATCAAATTATGAAAATATATAGTTACTATTCTAACTTTTATTTTTAATCTTTATCACATAAAGATATATGACTTATTTATGTAAAACAACCTAATAATTATCATTATATAAAACACAACTTTGTTGCTCAATATGACATAACACACAAACATGTAAGAGATTTTTATTTTAAACTATCACAGATATAAATTTTACCACAAAACAGTTTTTTTTAAAGTTATTTTTAAAATATATATCGTGAATTTATTCTCATATAAAAACAGGTATTCAAAACTATAGATGTACATGCTAATCTTATTATCGTATTATTACAATGAACCGACTATTCCTGGAAGTCAGATAATTAACTGTCAGATAATTCGCGCTAAAATAACAAACAAATAAATCACTTAGCGCAAAAAGTTATCATTTTGATTTATTACTTTGACATTTTACGATGTTGTCGCAATTGCGAAGCAATTTAAATCACAATTAAAACCTATTCACTATAATAAGAAGCGACCACATGGTTCCGAGTTGAGGTTAATTAACCCGGTATCATGATGTATTTTATCGTAAACTATAAACAAATATTTCTTACTTCTTGTTCCTCATCCTCACTGTTAGACAACGACGAAGAAACAGGATCTGTATCGGCATCGAGTACTTTTGCCTGAATCTCACGCTTCTTCACCGGTGCGGACATTTCCACTATGCTTCACCAATCCACAACCCAAGTTGAACTACGTCTCACTGCCTCAACAATTGTGTCAGACTGATCGGAATGTCGGAACCACGTGATAATTCAAAAGGAGTGGCCTGATCAGAGAGAAGCCTGAGAGCGACCAGGTCCATAAGAGAATGTGTAATCACTTTTCCGCCCCGTAAACTAGCGCATGTCCACGGGTGGTACACATTGGAACTACGCAGACAGTCCACGAGCGACACGTCGGTGCGCTATGTCCACAGCGTGCGGTTCTATTCTGTGCTATGTGCACGAGTTTAAATGGTCAAATTCACGCTTTCGAATATACTCACACACTTAAAGAAAGTGACCATTTAAACTCGTGCACATAGCACAGAATAGAACCGCACGCTGTGGACATAGCGCACCGACGTGTCGCTCGTGGACTGTCTGCGTAGTTCCAATGTGTACCACCCGTGGACATGCGCTAGTTTACGGGGCGGAAAAGTGATTACACAGTATCTTATGCTCTCTGCTTATCAGAGAGAAGCCTGAGAGCGGCCAGGCAGAAACACGCGCAGAAATAAAAGTAAAATTAAGAAATTCGATAATTTTAAAGTTGCAAGAAAATGTTAACTCTGTGTATTTAAAGTGATTTACAGAAGTATATAAAAAATTATATCGACATGTTTACAGATAGAAAAAAACAATAAAGAAATGCGAAGAAGATTTCAACGCGAGTCGTTGAATGGCGCCACTAGCCGTAACTGACGACTTACTTCACAGTCGTCACAGTGAAGCGGAAAAAAACCATTTCCGTTCTCGTTTAAACAGTTGCTCATTGCGCGTGGTAATTTATGCGTCGAGTTCTAACGCTTGCGTGAATGGGGAAACAATTAGGATATTAGACAACGCGGGAAATCGAGACCGCAACCGCTTCAAGTGTGAGAAGTTAAATAAAGGTAAATTTTATACTTGGAGATAAACAAGATCGAAACAATTGACATTTTTCTATTAGTAATTATATATTTTGCGTTATTATATATATTTTACAAATAAATAACATTCGACTATTTCCGATTAAGTATCAATCGTGATTGGTCAATTTTAATTAATTTTGCTAAACGACTAAATCATTTAGTTAGTTTCAATAGAATAATCGGCCAATTAAGTTAAGAGAAAGATGACAAAACTGGTTCCGACCGACTTTTATTCGTGAATTACTCGCTCCGTCATGATTCTTATCGTAAAACTGTCAAATCTTTATATTGAAATATATTTGAAACTCAATATTTAAAAAAATTCATCTGTCCGCGATTACTGAATAGATGAGAATACAAATGTAGTTAGATCAATGATTTTTAGAAAAATGATAATAGAACGTTTATAAGAATATAATTTCAATATTTACAGAAAGTAGAGAAAATAATAGCTAAACAAATGTGTGTGCGCGTCTTAGAAAGAAAAATCTATACTTTGTGTAGCGTTTCTCTTTACAACAAAATATCTTATATCTACTTCGACAGTAGAAAACAACAACACTAAGAAAATCTGAGATATGTGCAGATTTGCAAAAAATTGAGGAAAAAACAGAGGTCCATAGTCTCGTAGTATCGTAAAAATTGTTTCTTTTTCTTATTCTCTTCAATGTTTACGGTGTATATTACATCGATTAGTAGAGAGAAGAATCTCGAATGTCGAGAGATCGTTCGAGAATAACGATTCTCGATCGGCGAGCGGAAATCGGACGCGGGAAAATTCAAATTTTCCGATCACGTGCGGGGAAGCGTGTCGCGTCGCGGGCGCGCCGTTGTTGGCGCTGCAACGCCGAAATTCGATTAAAGTTCTCGCGCATGGGCCGAAGGAAATGTCGTTTTCTCGAATTTCCCGGAGTCTGTCAGGTGGCACCACGGCGTACGTTGGGTCCGGACGCTACGCGAGCGACCGTACTACGACAACACGGGGGAGAGAGGAGCCAGTGCTCTTTGTAGGTTATCGAAAGCACGTCCCAGGCGTAGAACACTTGCCCCGTTGAACGTAGACAGCGACAATTGACCGACACTGATCACCAACAACCGCCGCCGTCAGTCCTTTTTGTCCGTGCTCTCCCGTGACGTTTAGTGAGTGCTTTGAGCTGTGGCGGGCGGTGAGATGGCTGTCACTCTCTCTCTCTCTCTCTCTCTCTCTCTTTCTCTCTTACCCTCATTCTGGTTTTCTTTTCCTGTCTTCTTTTTCTTCTTCTCTTTATCTTTCTCCTTCTTTCTTTCTTTTTCTTTCTATCTCTCTCCTCTTCTCATTTTTTTAGTTTTAATTTTCTCTTCCTCTGATGTTCCATTCTCGGACGGATCGAGAGCGTCGTCACCTGCAAAGCGCGAACGTGGTTTTTTTTTTCGATAGCGCAATGAGACACGGCAAGGGCCACTTTCGCGAGACATTGGCACTGGAAATTGGACCGTATCGAACGTGGGGACGACGTCTCGCGATCGAGCGCAGAGCTGTTGTTGTTTCCTTCTAGATGTTTTCTCAGCTGAATAGATGTTTCGACTGCCCACTCGATACACCTGGTCCGGATCCACGAGGGGATGCTACGCACACGACTCTTGCGTACTACGCGCGTACTACATACGTACACCATACACACACACACATACACACACATATGTACACGCGACTGCAACATGCTTCTGGTTCTTGGCTGTGTTCGGTGTTTCTTAGCGCTGTTCTAGCATAGCAATCTCACCTGCCTTGAACTGTCTACTTTATGTTCTCGTTTCCTGCATCTATATTGGAAACGCTCGGTCTCCTGCGAGGTGTTTGTATCGACGAGTTCGGAACACTCAAAGCTCGATTTTCGAAGCTCCGGGGAGAGAGAGAGAGATAGAGAGAGAGAGCTATTCTCTCTTTCTTCTGCCTCTGTTGTGATATTTGTTAGGTAGTGATTTTACGTGTTATTTTTACGCGCGAAATCGCGCACAACTTGTCACGTACATATATGGCTCTGTATATTTATGGAATGTCTGCTTATACAAACTGAATTTGCGACGAATGTCTATGTAAGTGATCGATCAAGTGACCTCGTCAAATCCAAGTTTTGTGCGTCTCACAGTAAAGAATCAAAAATAATAAAATAAAACCAGTAGAAGTATCATTTGTTTATGTGTACTAGGTTAATTATATATACGCAGAAAAAAGAAGTAGACGAAATAATTATCGGCGCACGCAAGAAAGAAATGAGCCGACGTTTATTTCCCGAGCGTAAAAATGCAGATAAAACAGATAAAAAAAAACTATTTCTTATAGATATGAGAATTTCGTTTAAGACGCGTTAAGAACAATGTACAACGATTACCTGTTTAACGCGCCGTTCTACAATATATATTCCGCGATATATCGCGCGCTCTAAGTCGCGTTATATATATAATGTACATCGCAAGCGCGTGTAAGCTGCGTTTAATCACATTTTCACGTTCGAATTTATATCGAGTTGCCGTGTTCCCTAAGAGAAAAAAGACACAAGGTTGAGAGAAAAAACGAAACACGTGTTGTTTGTAGTGTATTGAAAATAATTTTAAAACGCGATTGAAGAAAATTTAGAAGAAATATTATACTTTAAAAGAGCTCGCTCGTAATACGTGAACAAGAAAACTGCTCGAGGAAAAATGTGGGATCATGTGAGATTATATATGGGTCGGGGGGGGGGGTATGTGGTTTTATATGATCATATAAGATTTCATTTAAGTTTGGATGTGATTTTTTTTTCATGTAATCGTGGAAAATCAAATCCAAAATTTAGCGCGATCTGATCACTTTATATATAAATTTTATACAATCATGTGTTTCTATTTTTTTTTTCGGGCGATTTAACGTTTCATCGATTTGCGTTAAAATCAAGAGCTAACTGCCAAATTGTTTGTAAGATCATTTCGACTTTAACGTAACATCGCGTAAATCGTAGACAATCGAGCGCACAACACAGCGCGGTGCGTCAGGGATGATACTCGCTATGTCGGTACTTTTTTCTGTGTCCCCACCCTTCGTTCATACGCGAAAACGCTTTTTCCGGCCTTTCGAAGCGCCACACGTTCTACGAACGAAATTAAGCCATATGGCTACATCGTAGGGGCGTGCTGAGGCCGATGCGCCGCGCAACTGGTTGATTTATCGGTGCTTTCGCGTAGCGAAAACTAGCGAGAGGACCGAATTGGATTACGGCGCGTGCACAAATTGCTTTATTCAAATGCAATTTAAGGTCGCGCGCGTCTTCCGCAGACTGCAAAGAGGGCCGTCTACGTAAACGGGGACGGCGCTTTTTCCCTTCACTTCTTGCTCCTTTTCTTTATTTTTCTTATCGCGCGAGATCGTTCGCGCGTATAACCGTTCGGGATGCATAATGACGAGTAATTTTGGCGGGACGAGTTACAAATGATCGGCTAAACGATATTTCCGATGTGTATAAATTTCGCGTTGCCGCGATAACGTGCGATGAGCGAGGCTCTTGTTTTTAACGTTCGTGATGACAGGTTAAAGACGAAACGCTCCTTCGCGTTCGATCTTGTTTCAAAAAGAGAGTCTTTTTTTACGACCGTTCGAACAACTTGAGAAATTGCATGAGTAGATAATTTTCTATATAACTTTTTTTCTATCAAGCTTTTGTTTTTATATTTCATGAAATTTTCGTGCTGTTTTGCTTGTTTACAGATTAAAGTTTTTCACGCTTAGATTTGTTCTCAAAGCAATCGCGACGCTCTACGTTAAAAACGCGATAACAAGTTTCTCAGTGATTAATACGAAGTTTACTTTTTTTTTTTAGCGCGATGCCCAATTTTTTTGACAATTTTTGACGGGTTTTACATGTTTACTTCTTCGAGTTCGATGTGCAAATTGACTGCGCGTTGTATGTGAATTCCGTCCGGTTCATTTTCTCGCTTAATAATCTTAATCCGCGTACCGAAGTTGTGTGGGAAATAGCGAGTCGAAATATCGAACTAGCAGGAAGGATTCAACAACGTGTCGCGACGTGAGGGGGAAGAGGGAGAAAGAGAACGCTCTATTGGCAATTGAATTGTGTGTTCATGACCGAAATGCGCACGTATAGAGCTGTTATATGTATATATAGTTGATAAAACTCGGAGAAATTACGTAAAAAGAGAAGACACGTGAAAACGACGCGCATTGTCGCTTATTGTTGTGCTTTAAATTTTCGAAAGTTAGTATTATCATCCAATGGAGTACTATTGAGCACGATATTCCATTACGTGGTTTTGCGAACGAAGAAAAACGACGAGCGCGAGGCACAATTCGCTTTAGAGTTCACACAGTTGAAGATTAATTCCCGACACGTTCTCACTTTGGCTCGTTCGTATTCCGCGGTCGTCGTCACATTTTGGTATCGATGTAGCCAAAGGGGAGAAGACGCAAAGAGGTAGAGGGATGAAAGAAGAGGGAAATGATTTCTAAACCGCGCGAGATGCATCGCACGCTCGCTATATATCATATAGCCGCGCGCTCTCTTGAATCGCATCGCAACAGATGCCCCGGCCACCAGGTAAACAGTAAATTCATTTCGATCAGCAGCGTCGACATCGGCTTCCTTCCTTACGGGATTTTACGAAGCGCGCGAGGTTGCGCGAAACGGCAAAAGTAGATGAAAGACGAGCGATGAGAAGAGGGACGGGAAAGGGGGAAAGTAAGAGAAGGTAGGAAACCCGAGGATTTATTGCACTTGCGAGCCCTTCTTTATCTCGTTTCTAAAGCTTCCGCGCCGGATCGGGAATATCGTGTTACTCCTTACAACGTAACATCCTCTCTCCGGATCTCTCTTACCCCATTTTGCTCATTTTCCTCTTTTCCTCTCCGACTGTCTCTCGGTGTTTCTCTCTCTCTCTCTCTCTCTCTATCTATCTATCTATCTCTTTTGTCGTTTAACGATGGCTTCCCGAAACCATTTATTGTTGCTGACCGT